TGAGTTGAAGCTCAAGGGTGAGGCCGAGCTTTTAAACTTGAAGCCCTTCGTTGGGCTGAGCTCAAGGCCGAGGCCGAACTAATAATTTTGAAGCCCTTTGTTAGGCTTAGCTCAAGGCCGAGGCCGAGCTTTTAATCTTGAAGCCTATTATTGGGCTAAGCTCAAGGCTGATGCCGAGCTTTGAAATTTGAAGCCCTTCGTTAGGGTTAGCTCAAGGCCGAGGCCGAGCTTTAATCTTGAAGCCCTTCCTTGGGCTGAGTTGGAGCTCAAGGCCGAGGCCGAGCTATTAAACTTGGAGCCCTTTGTTGGGCTGAGCTCAAGACAGAGGCCGAGCTTTAATCTTGAAGCCCTTCACTGGGCTGAGTTGGAGCTCAAGGCTGAGGCCGAGCTTTTAATCTTGAAGCCCTTCATTGAGCTGAGCTTAAAGCCGAGGCTGAGCTAATAAATTTGAAGCCCTTAGTTGGGCTGAGTTGAAGCTCAAGGCTAATGCCGAGCTTTAATCTTGAAGCCCTTCACTGGGCTGAGTTGGAGCTCAAGGCCGAGGCCGAGCTATTAAAGTTGAAGCCCTTCACTAGGCTGAGCTCGAGGCTGATGCCGAGCTTTTAAACTTGAAGCCTTTCGTTAGGCTTAGCTCAAGGCCGAGGCCGGGCTTTTAATCTTGAAGCCTATTGTTGGGCTGAGCTCAAGGCTGATGCCGAGCTTTTAAACTTGAAGCCCTTCGTTAGGCTTAGCTCAAGGCCGAGGCCGAGCTTTAATCTTGAAGCCCTTCCTGGGGCTGAGTTGGAGCTCAAGGCCGAGGCCGAGTTAATAAATTTGAAGCCCTTAGTTGGGCTGAGTTTAAGCTCAAGGCTGAGGCCGAGCTTTAATTTTGAAGCTCTTTGTTGGGCTGAGCTCAAGGCCGAGGCCGAGCTAATAAATTTGAAGCCCTTATTTGGGCTGAGTTGAAGCTCAAGGCTGATGCCGAGCTTTTAAACTTGAAGCCCTTAATTGGGCTGAGTTAGAGCTCAAGGCTGATGCCGAGCTATTAAACTTGAAGCCCTTAGTTGGGCTGAGTTGGAGCTCAAGGCCGATGCCGAGCTATTAAACTTGAAGCCCTTCATAGGGATGATCTCAAGGCCGAGGCCGAGCTATTAAACTTGAAGCCCTTAGTTGGGCTGAGTTGAAGCTCAAGGCTGATGCCGAGCTTTTAATCTTGAAGCCCTTCGTTGGGCCGAGCTCAAAGCTGAGGCCGAGCTATTAAACTTGAAGCCCTTAGTTGGGCTGAGTTGAAGCTCAAGGTTGATGCCGAGTTATTAAACTTGAAGCCCTTCACTGGGCTGAGCTCGAGGCTGATGCCGAGCTTTTAAACTTGAAGCCCTTTGTTGGGCTGAGCTCAAGGCCGAGACCGAGCTAATAAATTTGAAGCCCTTTGTTGGGGTGAGTCTAAGCTCAAGGCTGAGGCTGAGCTTTTAAAATTAAAGCCCTTTGTTGGGCTGAGCTCAAGGCCGAGGCCGAGCTAATAATTTTGAAGCCCTTCATTGGGCTGAGTTGGAGCTCAAGGCCGAGGCTGAGCTATTAAACTTGAAGCCCTTAGTTGGGCTGAGCTCAAGTCCGAGGTCGAGCTAATAAATTTTTAGCCCTTCATTAGGATGAGCTCAAGGCTAAGGCCGAGCTTTAATTTTGAAGCCATTCGTTGGGCTGAGCTCAAGGCCAAGGCCGAGCTAATAAATTTGAAACCTTTCACTGGGCTGAGTTGAAGCTCAAAACTGATGCCGAGCTTTTAAACTTGAAGCCCTTCATTGGGCTGAGTTTAAGGCCGAGGCCGAGCTATTAAAGTTGAAGCCCTTCATTGGGCCGAGTTGGAGCTTTTTCCTTATGATTTAATGACCTCCAGGTCTTTACTTGCTCCATCAAGAATTGCGACGACGAGAATCTTTGTCAAATCGTCATCTGCTTGGATCTAGAGCTCCATACTAGAGTCTCTCAGAGGATCAAAAGCCTTTTTTGCAGTAGGATTTGTCTCCTCATATGTATGTGGTTTCAGCAATTTCAGGACGCGCGAGGTCGCCTGCAATCTGTGGCTTCGTGCTATGCCGTGCGTGTTCACCATGGACGAGAGTCGAAATCTGCCGTTTCCCACAGACGGCGCCAATGTTCGGTCCTGGAAAGACCGTATTGCTATACCGTATGGTATGCGCTCAGAGATACTGTATAATTAGATGTATACTTGGCTTATAGCCGATGTCCCAATCACTGCGCACAAGCAATAGGCTTAGAGCCAATGGGTGGGTGTGTGCACAGTGTGGGCAGTATTCATAAGTAGGTGAAAAGTGTATACCTGGGGTCTTTAACCTTTTATTTATAAGGGTTACCTCTTGGGCTTGTGTAGATCTCTCAGTTGTAGTAGGATTTAACTTCCTTTCTGTTGGGATAGGGACTCTATCCTTAGCTGCCTTACTGTTTTAAATTGTTAGGATAATTGGAGAATTATTCTTTAAGGGATCCTTAGGGTAGGTGGTTAGGATATAGAAATATTCCATAACAGTAACATAAATTTTGAGAGAATGAAGAGCAATTTTTTTTTGTAATTTTAAAATAATTCAACTGTTCTTCTACCAATCACTCTCAAAACAATGTGAAACAATTTTTATAAGAATCATTTTGTCCGGAGAGTTCCAAAACAATGAAGATTCTTGCAAGAAATAGTTGGTCAACTACCTATAACTGAGAGAAACAAACGACTACTTATAACAATAGCACAATCTATCAAAAATTAATTTTGAATTTGTTAAAAAACCAGTTTTGAACTTGATAACCAGTTTATGATTCATAATCGGTTTTGATTTAAAACCGGTTTTGAATTAAAACTGGTTTAAAATCGATTTTAAATCAAAACTGGTTATAAACTATAAACCGGTTTTGGAATTGGTTTCAAACTGGTTTAGATAATTATAAAACCGATTTTAAAAGAAGAAAATCGGTTTGGTTTGAAAACCAAACTGTTTAAAACCAATTTGATTCAATTTTTGTTAAAACCGATTATGAACCGCTTCCATGCACGCTGTTAAATATGATGCAGTATCATAATTGAAGATATCTTTCTGGAAGGCGAGCAACACAACAGTACAAAATGGGAAAGATTCGCGTTGATTAAAGAAAAGATGTTTCGGACCACAAAGCACGGGCTTGATTGTGACGAAGTTGGAGCAATTAAGTGCTGGAGATTAAAAAGTCTATAAATAGAGGATCTTAAGATGTCTGAAAACCTTTTTTCCTTGCCTTTGGAGAGGTCGTTCTCTTTCATGGTTGCAGAGAAATTGTGCTGTTCTTGAGATCGTGAAGACTATGATTCTTATCGTAAATGTGCAGATAATCTTGTATAACTAATTAAGAGTTTTCTTATAGAATAAATATATAATTATTTAATTTAGACGATTTGATTATAAATATTTCTAACACCGACGCGGCATAATTTTTTTCAAATTGAAAATAAAAAATTATATGTGCTACTCATGGACGATGAAAATGAAAGAGTATGAAATTGAAAGCACAGAAAGGTCCCTTCAATTAGAATCATGTATTTGTACTGCTCATTCAACGTAGGGATTAGGACCCATTGAAGCCGGATAATTCGGTTTAATTCGAAACAAAATAAATTGAACTGAATTTAGAAAAATTAAACCTAATACATTTTTGGCACATGTTTCAATCATATTTGCTTAGCCGAATTATCTTAATAGTATATAATAATTTAAGCTATGTATTTATTTCTAAGTTAAGAATAGATTGTGACAACTTTTTGGGAACCTCTTGGTTATTATTTATTAACAAGTGAAAAATCGATTAGTCTAACATCAATATTTCGAGAAAAAAATCGCAATCAATGTAGCAATAATAAAAATTATTAGACTTTTTATTTAAATTAATATTTTGTAAATAACATAATAATGCTTTTTTTTTTTGTCTAATTTGTTTGAAAATATATATCATATATAAAACATTTCCTATTCTGGCCATGAATGAGTTTGCTAAACCCGCCCATGAGCATCCATAATTGACTAAAGACTATATGACAGCTTGATTTTAAACATTCTTGGTGTCTTTAGTTAAATGGCACAATCAAACAAAGTTCAAACTACAACGATTACATTGTAATCTCCACTCTTACCTCCTAAAAATTCTCATTTTTCAACCAGAGAACCCCTATCTATATATATGTCATTCCTAAAATCCCATAACCACATCTCTCAACTATTATCTTAGCTTTCTTTAGCCTCAGTGATTAATTATGTCTTCCTCTACCTTTAAAGTTCTCTCATTGATCATATCGGCTTTTGCCATTGTGCAAATAACAAGGGCAAGTGACCCTGACATACTCACTGACTACATAGATCCTCTTGGCCTCCCACTTGATGGGAACTTCTTTACCTACACTGGCTTTCGTGTCCTTGTTGGACAAAACCCACCACCCCCTGAATTTAAGGTATTGAAGGCAAGCATGATAGAATTCCCTGCTCTCATTGGACAGAGTGTGTCTTATGCTGTCCTTCAATTCCCTCCTAGTAGCGTCAACCCACCCCACACACACCCTCGCTCTGCTGAGTTACTCTTAGTTGCTCAGGGTTCCCTTCAAGTTGGGTTTGTGGACACAACCAATAAGCTTTTCACACAGAATCTTCAAGCTGGTGACTTGTTCATATTCCCAAAGGGTCTTGTACACTTCCAACACAACGCTGACACAAAGGTTCCTGCTCTCGCTATATCAGCCTTTGGTAGTGCAAATGCTGGGACAATATCACTTCCCAACACACTGTTCAATACCACCATTGACGATACTGTCTTGGCTTTGGCCTTCAAGACTAATGTTTCTATCATTGAAACTTTGAAGCAAGGCTTTGCTCCCTAGGCCTGACGTTGGGTAGAACTTAAAGTTCAATATTCATGCCTGCTCTGTTTCATGTGATTTTCTGTTATGTTACTTTTTATTATTTTTGTACCTTTTTTTGTCGTCATTTTGGAGTTCAATAAGTGCTTCTGTGTAAGGACCTAAGACGCGCATTGTTTGAACTGTCTGTTGCAATAATTGTAATATCGAAAATAAACTCATCAAGAACATTGCTGATTTCCCATCTTTGGTTTGCTGATGGCTTCTTTCTTCCTGAATTCCATTAAAAATTAGTAAGATTAGAAAATAGTAAAGGAGATTAATAGGCTAGATATACTAGGAATAGTACGCTGCCTCTTCTTGTATAAAACTACAGTACTACACCAGTCGGAACAACAAACATGGGAGGTTGGATCATCTTCTTTCCATCATCCCATTTGCACTCCTTCATAGAATGCAGTAAAGCTGAATATTTCATTGAATTGAATAATGAGAAAACTATACATTGCTCACTTATATATGCAGTAGCTATATAAACGAAGCTGATACAGTAGGAGCGGGAAAACTAACAGTATAACTGACTGATACTGTAACTACCAAACTAAGCAATGAAATAACTGAAACTAACTAACTTTAACTTATCAGTAATATGCCTAATACCCCCCTCAAGTTGGGAGTAATATATCTCTTAAACCCAACTTGGAAATCAACAACTGAAACTGGGAAATCGGTAGAGCCTTTGTAAAGAAGTCAGCAATTTGCAATGAAGAACGTATTGGAAGAAGGTGAATGAGACCATCTGAATGTGTTCTCTAATGACATGACAATCAATGTCAATATGCTTACTTCTTTCATGGAATGTGGGATTATGGGCAAGGTAGATAGCTGACTGGCTGTCACAAAACACAGGGATGGACTTGGTAAGCGGAAGCTGTAAGTCACGAAGAAGGAACGAGATCCATTGAAGTTCACAAGCCAAATTGGCTAAAGCTCGGTATTCTGCTTCGGAGGATGATCTAGAAACGGTTGTTTGCTTCTTAGTCTTCCATGAGACAAGAGAAGAACCTAAGAAGACACTCAAGCCAGAGACAGAACGTCGAGTATCAATGCAGCATGCCCAGTCAGCATTAGCAAAACCGGATGGAGTGAGATCATTTTGCACAGGGAAAAATAATCCCTTTGATGGAGAAGCTTTGAGATATCTTAGGATTCGAACAACAGCCTGATAGTGAGTCTCTATAGGCTTAGCTACAAACTGAGTAAGCTGTTGAACAACAAAATTTATATCGGGTCTAGTATTGGTGAGATACAATAATCTGCCAACCAATCTTCGATATGCAGCAATGTCTGAGTAAGGATTACCATGCTCTTTCTGTAGCTTCACTGAGGGATCCATAGGAGTGGAAGCTGGCTTAGAAGCAAGGAGACCAGCATCAGCAATAAGTTCCAATGCGTATTTCCTTTGATTAATAATCAAGCCTGATGAGGATATAGCAACCTCAAAACCAAGGAAGAATCTGAGATGGCCCAGATCTTTTATTCGAAAGGCAGCATCAAGATGATGTTTTACTCGATCAATTTCTTGGATATCATTCCCAGTGAGTACAATATCATCAACATAAATCAATAATGATGTGAAAGAATGAGAAGAGGACCTGATTAATAGAGATGAATCTGCTGCAGATTGATGATAGCCAAGAGTGAATAGAGATGAAAGCAACTTGGCATTCCATTGTCTACTAGCCTGTTTAAGGCCATATAAAGATTTGTTGAGCTTGCATATGTGATTGGATTTGTTGCTACTGACTCCAGGAGGCAGAATCATGTAGACATCCTCATCCAAGTCACCATGGAGAAATGCATTATTCACATCAAGCTGTTCCAAATGCTAGCCTTTGGCCACAGCTATGGATAACAGGATTCTGACAGTGGTTATCTTCACAACTGGAGAAAATGTTTCAAGGAAATCAAGACCTTCAAGTTGATTATATCCTTTGGCTACCAAGCGAGCCTTGTACCTCTCAATTGATCCATCTGCTTTGTATTTAATTTTATAGACCCACTTACATCCAATAGCTTGCTTATCGGGTGGTAATTCAACTATGGACCAGGTGTTAGTGGATTTGAGTGCATCCAATTCAACTTGCATTGCTTGTTGCCAAGGTTCAAATTTGACAGCTTGAGAATAACTAGTTGGTTCTGTGTGTGTGGAGACAGCCAGACAAAATTTTTTGAAAGAGGGAGAACATTTATCATAAGATAATACAGTTGATAAAGGGTAAGGAGTGGTTGTACCAGAAGATGATGTACAACTAGCATCTGTCATCAAACAATGGAAATCTGCTAAGCATTTAGGCTGAGAACAAATTCTTGTTGATCTTCGAGGTGGAAGAAGGGATGAAGTGGTGGTTTGTGTTTGGATGGTGTCTAAGTTTAAATCTGTTGGAGCTTGAGGATGCTGTGTGGGTAATGGTAAAGGGTAGAGATCAGGAGAATCATATAAGGTGTCGGGTATAGGATGTTGTGATGGTAATGAATTGGATGAAACAATAGTTTTAAGTGGAAAATGATTTTCATAGAACATATTGAAAAGAAGTTTTTGTATATTGATATTGAATAAATTACATGAGTGAGTATTTATACAAGAAAGAATCGCTAAGAATGACTAAGCGATGACTAATCAATCCTATCACAATCCTAATCACAATCAATTCTAATCAATCACAATTAATCCTAATCAATCATAATCAATCCTAATCAATCATAATCAATCCTAATTAATAGGAAATAAAAACGAAAACATGTTTGAATTCTAATTTTCTACACTCCCCCTCAAGTTGGGAGGTAAATATTGATCATTCCCAACTTGCCAATCAAGTCTTCGAATGCTGGACGGTGTAGGCCCTTGGTAAGGACATCTGCCGTTTGCTCTTTGGTTGGAACATATATCAAATGCACACTTCCATCATCTAATTTTTCTTTGATGAAGTGACGATCAACTTCCACGTGCTTTGTTCGATCATGATGCACAGGATTTTGAGCAATGCTAACAGCTGCCTTGTTGTCACAATATAGTTTTATTGGCAGGGAATATGAAATCTTCAACTCTTGAAGAAGTCTTCTTAACCAGATTCCTTCACAAACTCCATGAGCTAAAGCTCGAAATTCTGCTTCAGCACTACTTCTTGCAACCACTGTTTGCTTTTTGCTTCTCCAAGTAACAAGATTTCCCCACACATAGGTGCAATAGCCTGAGGTAGATCTTCTGTCTACTGATGAGCCTGCCCAATCTGCATCAGTGTAGATTTCAATTGTCCTTTTATACCCTTTTTTAAAGAATAATCCTCTTCCTGGAGTATTCTTGAGGTATCTAAGCACCCTATAGACTGCACTAAGATGCTTCTCCTTGGGTGAGTGCATGAATTGACTAATCATACTCACCGCAAAGGCAATGTCAGGACGCGTATGAGATAAGTAGATTAGTTTACCAACCAATCGCTGATATTGTTCTTTATCCACCTCATTCCCATCTTCAATACCTAACTTGGTATTAGGTTCCACAGGTGTCTCAGCAGGTTTACACCCTAACATTCCTGTTTCCAACAAAAGATCTAGAACATATTTCTTTTGTGTTAGAGTGATGCCTGTTTTGCTCCTAGCAACTTCCATACCAAGGAAATATTTGAGAGTGCCAAGGTCTTTGAGTTCAAATTGAGCTGCTAGAAATTTCTTCAAGGTGTTCAATTCCTCAATATCATCACCTGTAAGAATTATATCATCTACATATACAATAAGAATAGCAATTTTACCATCCTTAGAGTGTTTGTGGAAGAGAGTATGATCAGTCTGTGCTTGAATGAAGCCTCTTCTTTTGACTGCTTGTGTGAATTTGTCGAACCATTCTCTGGGAGACTGTTTCAATCCATATAGAGACTTTTTTTAGTTTACACACTGATTCATTTCCCCTTTCAAAACCAGGTGGAGGATCTATATAGACTTCTTCATGTAAGTCACCATTTAGGAATGCATTCTTCACATCTAACTGTTGCAGAGGCCAATCTAGATTGGCAGCAAGAGATAAGAGAACTCGGATGGTATTGACTTTAGCAACTGGAGCAAAAGTCTCATGATAATCTATCCCATGAGTCTGAGTGAAACCCTTTGCAACCAATCTTGCCTTGTATCTGTTGATGCTATTATCTGCATTGAATTTTATTGTAAACACCCATTTGCATCCTACTGCCTTTTTTCCTTTGGGTAGGGTCACTATCTCCCAAGTTCCATTTCTTTCTAAAGCATTCATTTCTTCAAAGACAGCATCCCTCCATTTTTTATCATTGAGAGCCTCATGTATATTTCTCGGTATCTTTGTACTATCCAACATAGTATTGAAAGCACGAAACCCTGGGGACAACTTTCCATATGAAATATGATTAGAAATAGGATGAGTAGTACAAGATCGAGTACCTTTTCTGAGAGCAATGGGCAAGTGTAGATCATTTTCACCATGACACTCAAGTATTGGGGTGCTGGAACTAGAACATGGTTCAGAATCCTGGCAGTGTAGAGGCTCTGGGTTATTCACACTTTGAGGAGGCTTTCGCCTGCTATAAACTTGTCCCCATGTTGAGGAGGCTCCTGATGGTGAGGATTCTGTAGCTCCCCCTGTTTCCAAAAGTAGAGGTAATACTGTGGCATTAATAGGTTCCCATGACTGATCTTCATCTACTCCTATAGACTCCCCCTGAAGAGAAGTCGAGGGGAAGAAAGGGTCATTCTCAGAAAAAGTGATATCCATAGAGACAAAGACCTTACGAAGAGAGGGTGAATAACACTTATAGCCACGTTGAGTAGGAGAATAACCAATAAAGACACACTGGAGAGACTTAGGATCAAGCTTAGACCGTTGATGGGAGGGAATATGGACAAATACAACACAACCAAATAACTTGAGAGGTAAGGAGGAGACACCTCGGAAGGAAGGGAAGATACGAACAAGACTAGAAAGAGGAGACTGAAATTTCAGAATGCGAGATGGCATTCGATTTATCAGATACGAGGCAGTGAGAACTGCCTCTCCCCAAAGATATTTAGGAACACTCGTGGTAAACATAAGAGCCCGAGCAACTTCAAGGAGATGTCGGTTTTTTCTTTCCGCAACTCCGTTTTGTTGGGGTGTGTCAGGACACGAGCTTTGGTGAAGGATGCCATGTTGGGAAAGATATTCTCCAAGAATAGAGTTAAAATACTCTTTGCCATTATCTGTACGAAGAATTTGTATAGCAACTTGGAATTGGGTTTGAACCATGGCATGAAATTTTTTAAACACGGATGCAGCATCGGACTTATCCTTTAGAAGATACACCCAACAAACTCGAGAATGGTCATCAATGAAGGTAATGAACCATCGAGTACCTGAAATATTTTTAACACGGGCTGGACCCCATATGTCGCTATGAATTAAGGAAAATGGGGAAGAGTCATGGTGAACTTTAGAAGGATAATGAGCACGAGTATGCTTGGCAAGTTGACAAATATCACAAGAAAACAAACTTGGACTTTTATTAATAAATATGTTTGGCAACAACTTCTGAAGATAAATAAAATTTGGATGGCCTAGCCTACGATGCCACAGCATAACATCATTACATGAATGAAAAGGAAACATAGAGTTTTTTTCTACGAAAACAGCTTCATGAGTCACATCCTCCTCAAAGTAGTAAAGTCCACCATCCTCTCTAGCACTGCCAATCATCCTCTCCGAGTCCTGTTCCTGAAAAACACAACCATGTGGAAAGAATTTAGCAAAGCAATGCAACTCAGAGGTGAGCTTGCTAATGGAAATGAGATTACAAGTCAGAGAAGGAACATAAAGAACTGATGTCAAAGTAATCAGCTCAGAAAGTTTAATGGTTCCGTGTCCCGCAATCTGGGAAAAACTGCCATCGGCGAACTTGACCCGAGAAGGTTCAGAATATGGAGTGTATGAACAAAACAAGCCAAGATTACCTGTCATATGATCAGAGGCTCCAGAATCAAGGATCCAATGATTTTGACTATCAACATGGAAAGTTGTACCTTGCTGGACCACATGACTAGTGGCCTTAGGAGGTTGCTCGTGGTAATAAAAAGAGTGTTTTGAGGAAGCCATGAATAAAAAGAGAAGGGTTGACCGTTGATGAAAAATCAAGTTTTGTAAACTTTTGATCTGACCTCTGGAACAGGAAGGGGAGAAGCCGGCGAGAAGGTCTGTGCAAGTCGCGACGGAAAAACAACATCCGGAAGGCGGCGCGTGGTGGCGCGTGCAGCGGCTGACGGCGATGGGTCCAGCGGCGGTCGACTCGTCGGATCCTTCTGAGTCGAATGGTCACCTCACTTTTTTGATCGGAGGTCAGTAAACTAGGTTTCTGTGTTGGACAGATTCAAGGCGGTGTTTAGGAGGTGTTTGACGGTGATGGAAGTGTTTGGATGGTTATTTCAGATTTGAATTAGGGTAGGAACGAACCCGCTCTGATACCATATTGAAAAGAAGTTTTTGTATATTGATATTGAATAAATTACATGAGTGAGTATTTATACAAGAAAGAATCGCTAAGAATGACTAAGCGATGACTAATCAATCCTATCACAATCCTAATCACAATCAATTCTAATCAATCACAATTAATCCTAATCAATCATAATCAATCCTAATCAATCATAATCAATCCTAATTAATAGGAAATAAAAACGAAAACATGTTTGAATTCTAATTTTCTACAGAACACCACATTTCGTGAGATAAGAATGGTTATTGTATTTATATCAAATAACAAGTAGCCTTTA